ACACCTAAGCAGGGTTGTTAGGTACAGCAATTAGTAGAGAACCTTTGGGCAGACTTCTTAAATAGATAATATAAAAAAGTTACATGTGTAGCCAATTGTATGCTCTTCTGTAGTGGTTTATTGAACCACAATACTATAAGTGATTAATAAAAGTCAAAAGACCAAAAAGGTTATCTTAATACTAAAAAAAAAAAAAAAAATTATATAGCTATAAGAACTTATCTTGAGTTTACATTATTTGATGCTAGTTTGCATTTTTTTGTATAATATAATAAAATTAATTTATTAAAAAAAATTTTATATTTATTTATAATGAATTATAAATTTATTAAAAATATCTTAACACAATCTTATATATAGCTATATTTTTAGATTTACAGTATATTATAAGAAATATTGTTTTTTAAAAAATAATTAAAAAAATTCTTAATTAAATTTATATAAACTTATTATAACAATTTTAAATATAATATCTGTTTTAGAAATATGATAATCTAGTAAAGTAAATAGGTTGTTAACCTCCAAGTGGCAAGTTTAGAGTTTAAATCCTAGTGATAATGAAAATTTGTAATTCTTTCTATATTATAGTTAACTGTTTTCTGTAATTGATTGGGATTAGATACCTGTAACTCATGTCATACCAGTATAACTAGAAGGTCTAGATACTTATACAATATTGTACAAAGAAACACAAACTGATACCAGACAGTATAAATCTAAGATAAGTTCTTAAACTATGTAAATTACAAAAATTAGATAGAAAGATGAAATCCACTTGAAAGATCTAAGTAGAGAGATAATCTGAACTTTTAATGATACTACTGTAAAGACTAGACTTATGAAATAAAACTAGAACTTGTGAAACTAGGTAAATATGCTGGTCTTTGAGAAGAAACTAGATAAAACAACCAAGTTATCAAAATTTTCAGATTTCAGAAAAAAAGACTACCTGTTAGCAAACATATAAACCAAAGGTATATAGTTACAACCTACCTTTCTAAGCTGTTTAAAATAGCAGTTTAATAGAACTTGAATTAAATACCAAAATAGTAAAGATATGTTATAAAGTTATACTGAAGTTAAGGTAAACTCTATGAGGTTATAATGGTTTAATAGTATGCTCTGATTGCTAGTATTGGTCTTGACTATAATGATACTAGATTAGCTATAAGAATGAAATACAGAAGATTCTAAAAGGTTTAGTACAAGGTCAAAGGTTTCAAAAAACTGCTTTAAAGACTTAGTAGCTATGGTATATTTTTACTAGCATCAGTCAAGATTGTTGATAGGCAGAGGTAGATAGATAAATATAAAAACTAAAATAGTTAAATAAGAAATCTATAAGCATATTTCAGGTATGACAGCTAGTATAAAACCTTTAGGCAAACTACTTAAATTAGATAATAACTAAAGTAGTATGAGTAGCTAGTTGTATGCTCTTTTCCTAATTGTCTTCTGTAGTTATAATGCAACTATTAGTCAAATATACTATTAAAAAAATTCCAGATTACAAGTAATTACTTTAATATTTAAAAAAAAAAATCTGGTTTAAAAATATCAATATTTATAATATGATTAACTCAATATTTAATAAATTATTCTATATAATAAGTAGACAATATATAATATTACTAAAATTTACCTCTATATGATAGTAATATTAAACTTTTAATATGATAAAAAATACATTAAACTAAGTTTCTAATTTTATACAAGATTTTTTATTAATATAAGCAAATTTAGTTTCTTATAAACAATTGTTTTTAATAGCTAAAACAGTTATTAGTTAAGCTAAAAATAAATTATTAAGTAAAAGTATATAAGCATACTTGTATTTAAAGAGTTAAATAAATAAAAATATTATTATTTTTTTTTTTAAAAAGTGAAAATAAAAATATTTTTTTATTATATATAAACAAATTCTAATATAATTCAAATTGCTAAAGCTTAAAATAAGTCTTTTTTTTAAAAAAAAAAAACTAATAATATTATAAAATAAAAATGTTTATTAGTATATTTTTATTATATAATTTATATAATTATTATATTTTTATTATTTTTACTATTACTTTATTTTTATTTTATATATTATTACTTTATATTTAACATTGTTTTTGCTATATATTATTTTAAGAATATTATAATTTTTTGCATATGTAATACATTACTATACCTTTGTATTACATATATTTATATATATATACAACAATAGTAATTTCAAATTTAAATTATTTTGACATATGCACATCATGCATATTAATCACTTGTCATATCAAACAAATAAATAAAGAGGTCAATCATATAATTGAACTTCTACTGCTTTTGAACAATTGAATTTTTATTATTTTTAATATCAAGATATACTATCTTATCTCAGTATTAGTTAATAAAGAAAAAAAAATATACTTGTAGTAAATTTATAATAGTACAAACATTTGTACTTTTTTTAAGTACATTTTTTTTTTTTTGCTATAATAGTTTTATTTTTTTTTAATTATTGTTGTACATCTTTAACAGGCTTTTTGATTGTTATCTCTTTTTTTTTAAATTGTAATTTGCATTTTTAGAAGTTTAACTTTTTGTTTATTGTAATTGCTAAATTCAACTCTATTATTGTTCTTCACAGTGTCTCTTTTTTTTTTTACTGTAGTAGTTTTATTCTTTTTTATTATTATTAGCAAATTTAAGAAGTTACTCTATTATGATTGAAGGTTTTAAAGAAAACAATGTTCTTTATTTTGGTAATTCTTTAGAATTAATCTACAATACAAGTAAGTTTGTTAAAAAAAATAATTATTGTTTAAATTTTAATATACAAACTAACAAATATATCTCTGGTTTGACAGATTCTTTACAAATATCTAATAATATATTATTTCATAACAATGCTAAACTATTCTTACTCTATTCAGAAAAAAGATTTACTACATAGAAAGCATATGAATTTTTTTTTAATAAATAGGCAAAGTTTTAAAGATTTCATATAATTAAAAATTATATGCAATATAATAATAATGTTATAAGATGCAAAACTTTTATATGCAATTATGGTTATATGTATAAATTAAACTTAATGAAGAACACAAATATAAAAAAGACACAGTGTTCTTTTCTAATTAATATCTTCTGTTCTAAAATAAATACTCTAAATTTTTCATAGTTATTAATAAAATTGTTAAAAGTCATAACCATTCTTTAAATTCAAAAAGAATCAAATTTAAAGATAACAAAAGATTTACTGAAAAGATGTTAAAGGATATGAAGTTTATAACCATGTTTTGTAAGTTTGAAGCTACATCTTAATGCAAATTTCTTGAAGAAAAATACTCTACACAACCAATTTATTCAAAAGATTTATATGTTGCTATACAAAAATTTTGACCCAATAGTAAAACATTATCTAATAATACTGCATAGATAAAATTAAAACCAAACACATAATTTGAACTATAAATTGTAAATTTAAATAGAGTCAAATTTATTTTTAGGTCTCAAATTGGCTTGATCAAAAGAAGGATGAAAATTCATATTGGTTTGTTGCTCATGATTAAGATGATGATAATACTTTAACTTGCTTGTTCTAGATGATGCCAACTTAAATTAAAAATTAGATACAATATTCAGATTATATATTAAATAATGTAACATATAAGACAAATTGATATGGCATGGCATTGTTATTATTTATAAAATTCAATAATAACAGACAAAATCTTTTGTTAACTTAAGCACTTTTAATTGATGAAAGTCTTAAATCACATAGGTGGATGTTTCAATAAATAATTAAAACTACAAATATTTATCCATCAGTAATATTGACTGATTCAGACCTAGCAGTTAATTCTGCAATTAGTTATGTTTTTGTTTTAATATATCTCATTTATTGTGCTTATCATATAAGCTAAAACTTATATAAACATCTAAAAAAGACTTTGAGAAAAAATTATTTACAATTTCTTGAAGATTTTTATAATTGTTGAAATAGTCTATCTAAGGATATTTTTCAGCAATGTTTTGATAATCTTATTTAGCAATATTCTAATGCTAAAAGTTATTTAAAATTTCTTTACAAAATGAAAGACTATTGGGCATATTGTTTTATTAAATTTAAATTTACAGATAGTATAATTGCTACTTCCTGGATCAAATCTATAAATAGAAAATTAAAACAATTATTGTACAATTCTAATATCTCATTATGTAAACTTATATTAGAAATACAAAAGTTACTCAATATACAGAATATAAAAAATGAATACAAATATTTTATAATTTTTGTAAAAATGATAGTTAATTAATATTAAGTATGTTAAATATTAATATATTACAAAATATTTAGATTTTGGCATACATTAATACCAAATATTCATAATCAAGATAAAGTAAATTTCTTGTTTACTGAAGTTAATCAATGTCTCCAATGATACCTCAAGTCTAATATTTTGAAAATGCAGCAGAATGAAATAAACCAATCAGTATATTATGTTACTAGTCAGGTGTTTTAACAAAATATAGAACTTTATAATAAGACATTAGTTAAAGATGCTAACAAAAACTAGATAATTATAGTCTTTACTAAATGCTTATTTGACAATACAATTTAATAAGCCAAATTGATGTTATATTAAATTGCATTGTTAAATAAGTATTTTGTAGAAATTATAATTATTTAATGCATATTTGTTAGCTCTCTTAATTGATAGTATTTTATTTTAATCAATACAATCATTAATTTAATGATATATATCAGGAAAATTAATTAAAAATTATTTATGATAAACAATTTGTTGATAAATTACAAGCTACTCTTAATCAGATAATTGAATTTGTTAAATTTCATAATGTTAAAAAAATTTGGGCAATTAGTGTTGAAAATTTTTTAGAAATAAAGCATCATATCCTACTGCTTTAAAACAATTTATATATATACTCTTGTCTCTTTATTATACAGTATAATATAGTGTATAGACATTATTTTCAACTGATGCTTATAACAAGCAATGCGATGTTCTATATCTGAATGTTATCTTTTTGATGATATTTTACTAATGAAGTTGGTTCAGAAGAGCAATTCTTAGTCACAGATAAATTTTTCTAAAATATATCAGCTTTGCCAAATGATATACTAATTTCTTATTTGTATTTTTTTAGACAGGAAAAAGGAGATTTTTGTGAAAAAAATATAACATTATTTAAGCAAAAAATTATTTATAATAAGCTTTATAGCATATACAAAAAGGCTCTAAATAAAGCTTTGAAAAACAAGTCAAAATCTTTACAGCTAATTGATTTATTTCAAGATTTTGCTAAAGAGGATAATACTGATAATGAATCAGATTCTAATAAAGGCTAACAAAATACTATTTATATTGGCAAAGAAAATTTAAATCCTTAATTACAAATTCTAAAAATATATCAAAAAAAGTGTTATCTATTAAATACTAAAAGATTAAAATCATCTTATGAAATTACTAAATCTAAACCAAAACAGTAGCATTAATGCAAAAAATGTGGATTATAGAGCATTATCAAAAAAATTGCAAAGAAATATAAATAATAAAAGTTATATATTTAATAGCTTGTATATAGTCAGAATTTAATTTGTTGCTAAATTACTATATCAGTAGCTGCAATAATAATTTTATTAGTTTGAAATGATTCATAAATTTGATATTACATTCTTTTATACTAATAATCTTTTTTTTGTTATATAATTATGTCTAGTATAACAAGTTATAGTAGATTATAATAGTAAAGAATATATACATATAAAAGTTTATATATTTACTATCGATAAAAAGTGCTGTAATTCTTTAAGTATTCTTTTTCTAAAGGTTAGAGTTTGGGTAAGTACTATTATAGTTTGTCTTTTTTTTTTTTTTTTTAATATTAAGGTGAGTAATTGCGACTCAGGAGTTTATTGATAATCATTCAGCATATAACTATTGTGTACAATAGCTACAGAGACAATCATGAAAAGAGTGTACAACTAGCCACTCATACAACTTTAGTTATTGTCTATTTTAAGTAGTTCACCTGAAGGTTCTACATTAGTTGTTATACCTAGAACTCACCTGTGAGTTCTCTATTTAAACACTCTAGTTCTCGTATCTACTCCTACCCTATCAACTGCAGTCATTGCTGAAAATATATCATGGTCACTAAGTCATGTTTAACTTTATACTAAGCCCATCGAAGCCTTTTGTATTCCATACTTACAGCTGACCCAGTACTGCTTTGGTCTAAACTATCACTTGCAGTTAGAGCTAACCATTAAACTGCTATACCTTTGTAAAGTTCACAGAGACCCTAATACCTTCCTTTCCTAACTTCTACACTCCTACTTCTGGATCTACAAGACCTATAAGACTTCTCAAACTACCAATTCAGATGGCCCATCTGGCGAAACTGGTAGCCTGGTTGGTATGTGCTTCTCTACACATATTGTTGTCTGATCTATCTGAGGTCCTAGTAATCCTTTTTTGGGGGCTTCTGATGGTTTGGTAGTATCATTGAAAGTCTATACTACCTCTTTACTTAGGATTTCCAAGTGAGTTTCTGACTCTTTGGTTCCTTTGCTTTCTATACCCAGTGGTCTTATCACGAGTTTGCATCGAAGTCTTATGCAACATCAGTTATTAACATTCCTCTATGTGAGTATAATGTTACACTTTGCATAGATGCCCCAAGCTCCTATTCGAGATAGTGCAACAAAGGTTACAGATACACAAATTCAACTGATCAACAGAGACAGTTACTGTAACACAGACCTTATTTTCCAAAATTCGGTATCCATGAGATTTGAACTCTAGACCTGCCACTTGGGAGTTGACAACCTGACTACTTTACTAGATCATCATACTCCTAGTTTGTCTTTCTTATTAGGTGTTTTAGATAAAATACTATATATTTAATAAGATTTTTTTTATGAATTTTTATTAATACAGAGTAGAGTTAATATCTTTAAGCATTCTTTTTCTTAAAGTTAGAATTAAAGTGAGTACTATTATAGTATTAGATGTTTTCAGTAAAAGCTTTGTTAATTTTTTTATTTGTATATCATTAAGTCAAATTATGTTCATAGATGTGCTTTAGTATACTATATACTATATTATTTTTAAAAGAAAAATCTTAGTTTATTGCATGATATAAATCTCAAAAAGATGTACTGAGGTCTAACCAAATTAATGTATTTAGAACTAAGCATACTGATATAGCTATTAAATAACTGGCTTTTTATTTGTATTAGTAATACAAATTTATATATATATATATATACTTGAATTTAAAAGATGACTATAAAACAAAATATTGCTTGTAATATATGAAGTTTAATTCTTATTATTTTTAATTAATGTATCAAGAATTATTTAAATATGTATTATTTTTTTATTGCACATAAACAATATATGAACTATCTGATTGGCTATTTCTTTTTTTAGAATTTGTATTATTACTATATTATGTAATTCACAAGAACTAATAATATATTGCTTTAATGATATATTACAACATTCTTATTTTTATTATTTTTTTTTTTATTTTTTGACAATCTTGTCAGAGCTCAAATACAAAATTTTACTATTTGAAACATTAACTATTTCTAGTAATTCACATTTTGAAATTGCAAGTCTGGCATCATCCAAGTACAGAAACTGCACTCAAATACAATTTGTCATACCAGTTTATGTCTAAACTAGAAGACTTTGTCAGCTCTGTCAAGAACTGAACCAGAATAGATTTGTTCCATTTTGCACTAGTTCATTCACCTCTTCATTAAATAGCTAAACATATTCTACTTCTCTTTCTTTATCTTTATTAGCTTTCATCTTACTTGTTATACTTCTTTTGTTATCTCTTCTATTTTTGATTTTCTTTGAACTATAGCTTTCATTTTTATCTCTCTTTATTCTGCATCACTTTATTTTAGAAGTTATTTCATTCTCATCTTCCTATTTGGCTACTGTTTTGCATCTTCTTTATCATATTTCTTCTAAACATTTCTTTAACAATTTTGATATATAGTTTTATAAAATGTTTTGTACCTCTTTATGATACTTGCTTTATATATAATTCCTTAAACATACTTTCTATTGCTAAGCCACATATACATAACTCATGATGCTTAATCTTATCTACTATAGTTCTTCCAACAAGTATTTTGTTTAACTTGAGTTTCGTAATCTTGCTTTTATCTACTTTATCAAGCTTTTTTTATACCAACTAGTATGCCAATTCTTTAATATTGTTCCAATACCTACTGTACTCTTCATATCTAAATAAATATATTAATGTCTCTTGTTCATTATAGCATTCTTTACATTCATCTAACTTATATATGTCTGATATTCTCTTCTTTAGTACCTCAAGAACTGGTAAACTATTGCTTATATACTTAACTCTAAATGCTATCTTCTTACTTACTTCTAGTGATTTATATTTAACTTTTATTAAACTTCTGTTTTCCTTCTACAATGCTTTCCAATTTTTTTGAACTTTAGCATTTAGTTCAAGTTCTCTAACTGCCTTTGAGCACTGCTATTCAGCACTATTCATTATATTCATTAATGTCTTCACAAACTTTTTAGTAGGTATTTCTACTACTAAATCTTTCCAGTACAGTATACATGGAAATCAGCAGTTTCTTTCAAGTTTCAGATCTGAGCATTCACCTAACAATGTGCCTTCTTTCACAAATTTGTTAGCTTTTTTATTCCATACTACTCCACTATATGTTTTAACCTTAACTAGCACTAATTTGATATTTTTTAACCTGCACATATCTTTGATCTTTATTACTAATCTGAAGTTTTTGGTTTTGCTTCATGCTTTAATATTAAACATAGGCTTTTTTTTTCAAACTTGCAATTGCTGCTGAACTATCTAATTTAATTACTACTTTACTGTTATTAGCTATAATTAAAACTATTATTAATATTGCTACTAACTCTGACTTTGTTGATGATGACTATTTCTTTAATTTAATTTTACCCTTTATTATAACCTCTTTTTCATCTTCACTAACTTGCATCTAACTTGCACTCATTCTATATTCTTTTTCTTCTTTTACTAATAACCCATTTGTATAAAACTTATATTTTATACACTCATCTATAATGTTCTTTTCTAACTGCTTTAGTAGCATATTCTCTAAACTGCTATTTAGGCTTTGTATTTTTAATAAACTAATTTCATAACTATATACTATTATTTTTTTACTTATAGCTCTTTCATTACTTATATCATCTTTTTTTATCTAAAACTTATTGTACCCTTTTAGTTCTTCAAGCAAGACTGATACCTTTTGCTTATACATCTGTCTTACTTCTAGTAATACTCCTACTATTGCACTCTTCTTAACCCAATGTTGACATCTGCTTATGCTACTACTGTTACTCAGATTATATTTATCATATTTTACGAATACCAAGTAACTTTCTCCTTCAACTTGTGATGTGCTCTAATAATTTATTAGTACATTTTTCTTTTTCTTTTTGACTACTTTGTCTACTATTGATTTAGTGTTTTCTTTGTTTACTAACATCCATTTTTATTTTTTTTTATCTTATAATAACTTTTTAACCTCAATTTTTATTGCCATGATGTTCATCTCTTGAATTTGAAACTCAGGACAGACTGTTCTATTTACTTGGTCTCTTAACATCTTCTGTTCAATTTTGGCAAACTATTTTGCTTTTCATCCTTTTTGTATACTCATACATAATGCTTTAAATTTCTTCTATATGATTATTTTTTTATTTTCTTAATCTATTAACTGCTATACAAAAACAATCTACTCTGTATTAGCTTTTTACAAACCATTTTAAATATCTCATTCTCTAACAAGCTTTGTACAGTTTTACCTATACCAAAAACTTGCCAAAAGACTTCTTCTGCCTTTATCTTTAAACTTATTTCACTTGCTCATAGAATATCAAGTATGCAAGATTTCTTTTCTATATCTTTCTTAGATTACTTGCATATGCTGTATTTATCTCTTCTGATATTAGTCCTGCTAGAGCATAACCTTGTTTCATATGTATTCTTGTTATCTTACCAACTTGATCTGGCTCATTTAGTCTTCTTTGTAAAGAAATCAGCTAACTATTAAATACTTTCTAACTCAGTACTCTACATTTTTCTAAATCTTAATATGCAATTATGCTATTTTCTACAGTTGCCAGCAGACCTAGTTTGTTTTTAATTAATCTAATTACTGGTTGATTTAAGTGATTTATACACTCTTTGAACACTTTTGCTATTTGCAGTATGTATACTAATTTTGGTATTATGCATATATTGTTAATATATATTAGTTGACTAATAGTTAATTTCTTTAATTGTAAGCTTCTC